TTACCAAGTGACTTCATCATTGTGTTAGAGAGTAGGAATTTTGTTCTTTGGGTTCTAGATGGCCTAGGTGTAGAAAATAGATATAAAAAGTTTCTTCTCCCTGCCCCCACTTCTTTTTTTTCCTCTGTTAGGTTTTCAAAACAAAAATAGAGTTGCAATCTTGGCAGAACTGGACAAGGAGAAACGAAAATTACTTATGCAGAACCAATCTTCAACAAATCATCCTGGAGCTAGGTATTGACTATTATTTTGGGGTGCTATTATTAATAATATTTTTCAAGAAAATATGCTGTTGGACACTCTTTGGAAGTCTCCTGGTACCCTTAAGATATGTCTTCCCTGACCACTACCCTACTACATAAAGAATCTCTATTGGGGGGAGGGGCAGAGGATTCTCTATTAGCACCTCTGTAACTCTACATCATGTACAACCAGATGAACAAGAAGTTATGCTGCATTTATGTATGATGTGTCAAAATGCATTCTGTCACATATAACTAATTAGAACAAATAAAAAATAGACTCTATTAAGGGCTAGAGCTGTATAGCTCAGTGGTGGAGTGCTTGCCTACTATGTGTGAGGCATTGTGTTAGATTGTCTGCACTGCATATAAATAAATAAATAAGTAAGTAAATAAATAAATAGTCCATGAACAAATTAAAAAAAAAGTCTCTTAATTCCCCTATCATCGCATGCATCACAATTCATCCAAATTGCTGTTATGTGTGAGCTCTTTCTTGCATGTTTTATACCCCCAGTGCTTATTTTATTAGCACATAGCCAAGCATCTAGTATCTGCTCTAGAATCTGGTAATTAAGTGCCTCTAAGTTTAGTTATTTATTCATAGTAGTTCAACCTGTGTGGAACAGTGGCTAAGTTTTATTATTATGCAAATAAAAAAGTGTGGTTTTACTGTTGATGGGTATCATGTAATTTACTTTGTTTTTAAAAATAATGTTAATAAGGAACATGATATAGACTATGGTACCTCAAATCTATTTGAAAATAGGGGACCTTGAATTATAAATTAAAAAAATAGATTATTTGAAGTTTCAATAAATAACATAGGCTTTCTGCACATAAATTAATATGGATAGTGGGATGAAGAGGAAGAGGAGGAGGAAAAAGCACTTATTCTAGAAGTTTTTTTTATTATTAATCCCTATAAAGAATATATAATGAAGTGATGGGGCGGTAGCTCAGTGATAAAGCAGTTGTCTAGCATGCCCAGGAACTGGGTTTTACACCCAGTACTGCAAAAACAACAACAAGAACAACATGTAATGAAAAATGTGGGTTGGAATTAAGGACAGAAGATCTAGCCAGTAACAGAATGTGTGCATAGTGTGCATATCATGCATGAAGTCAGGGTTGTGATTCCCAACACCACCTAGAAAAAGAAAAACAGAAATAAGGGCATCTCTTTAGGAGATTTATTATTCATTATACAGTATGGTGACTATAGTTAATAGTGATTATTGAATACCTGAAAATTACTGAGAGTAGATCTTTAGTGCTCTCACAATTAAAAAAAAATCAGTATGTGAGATGACAGATGTGCTAATTAGCTAGATCTAACCATTTCACAACATATGCAGATATCAAAACATGATATTGTACACCATAAGTATATGGAGTTTTATGAGTCAACTATATGATTTAAAACAAAGATAATTTACTACTATTAAAAAAAAAAGTAAGGATGCCTTTGCCTTAAGAAACCTAGTAACCAAGATTTCCATTTTAGCATTGCACTCTCCAGACCCGCTCTTAATAAGGACTTCCGGGATCATGCAGAACAGCAGCATATCGCAGCCCAGCAGAAGGCAGCTTTGCAGGTGAGCAAAGTATAACTGACATTCTTGTCTCATTTGTGATTTCCTGGGCCTTAGAAGCCAGCACAGTAGTTATTTTGTATTTTGGTAGAGCAATATCAATAAGAATGTTCCACACATAATTGCAATGGCTTGCTGATGTTCAATCATACCCAAAGGGTTTGAAGGACCAATACAGCAGTAATGAAAGTGTCTTTTATGGTGTTGACACCGTCATGATGGATTCTGTGCTATACCTGCCAAGGGATTGCTTGTGCACAAAAGAGCTGAGGATATTTGGAT